AATTTGCTAGAAGTAGAAACCTTTGTTTAGTGGGTTGAACTTAGTTCTTAAGTGAAGACCTTTGTATATCTAATCACTCGGTAGTGTCAGGCATCATTTCCTGACCATGCCCTGTGTTAAAACTCTATTAGTTATGAAGCTTATGTGCAAATGTCAAGGTTGGTTTGCCACATTAGTTACTTTATTATATAATTATCTTTCTATTTGACCCAAATCTTTTCTAACTTCCAGTGTTTCTTTTTTGAATGGTAAGAAAATATTATGGAACTCCTTAACACAGAACATCTAGTGTTTACAACTGGGATGACAAGAGTGCAAATATTCCTTAGAAATCTCAGAGAGGTTTTTTTTTTTTTTTTTTTAGTTAGATGGGTTTCCTGTAACAGCTGCCAATGCTAAGAACATGTTATGTGCTGACTGGTTTAGGCAAAAGTTCTATGTGCCACTCATGAGCTGAGTGAAGGAAAAGTTGGAGACTATTACAGGGTTCTACAACTGGTCACACACAAAGAATAAGTGTCTGAGAGATGCCCAGCCCTAAGTGACACATCTACAATGGAACCTCTACACCTAAGGCTCACAGAGCATAGATGAACAGCAGTTAGAGAGAGTACTAATGCATCCCTCAAGTCTTACCAGCAAAACTTCCTCATGCAACAGAACGTGATATGCACACAGAAGGCCACACTGGTCAAAGCATGGTGAATAAGAGACTGCAGAGTGTGTGTCCCTGGATAGGACTCCTATGTTAGACCTCACCTCACCATGGCTCAGGGACCACTGTGGTCCGTGGGGCAGAAAGATTTTGAGAGTCAGGGTTGATGCATGATGGTAAGGAAAGAGCATTTTCCAGGTCTTTGGGAACTTACTCATAGGAACTTGCCATTCATATGTAATTTCTATACATGGATTTTCAATACATGGATTTCACAGGGGCAACAAAGCTCCCTGAACACAAGCTTGCCATTCTCACTGTCCTATGTAGTCTAAAGAATGCTGGTTCCAGTTATCTTTCATTTCTAATAATGACAGCTTGGATTTCTTTAGAGAACTGCCCCTTCTTGGCCATGATGTGCTGTACTGAGCTGATTACACAAAAATACTTTGCTGCATCCTGGCTAAGAAGTAGAACTGGACTCAGCCAAAAGCAGTTAGACTCTCTCTCCTTGGTATTTAGTCTTTATATTATTAATACAAGGCAAAATTAATAGTTGAAAGCATACTTTATTCCAGTAGTGGTGCTCTAAAGGATGCTTTTCATAGTGATAATGAGAAGCCAAGTGTTGCCCCCATTCACATCCTATCAGAGTAGAAGTCATTCCTTTTTAAATTCTGTGTTGCCCTATTTCCTTCTCTCTGACTGATGACTAGGAATGTGTATGTCTATGAAGAGCTTTTTTCCATGGCTTGTAACTGAGAAAGAAACACAGATTTCCTCCCTCTCAGCAGCTCTCAACTTCTCCTTTAGGGTCAGCTACCCTAGTTCACATGCTTCTCCCGAGGTTAAGCCAGAAACCAAAGCAGCAGAGAGATGACAAAGTGCACAGGAACATGTTGGAAACCATTCAGATGTGCTATATATGACTTTGTTTCCACATTTCAATCATTGTTCAAGAATCCCAGGGCTACCTAGCTTACCCTAAGATTCTCTACCTGATTTTATTTGTTTTTTATATATTTTTGTTTCTTAGTGTACAAAACAATGGGTTTCATTATGGCATCTTGATACATCTGTGTCACTGTGCCTCTCTATATCTAATGTAGGAACTTTACTTTGGTGATTTTGAAACCTTTTTTAAAATTTTTTATATTCTTCTGCTAGGATGTCATTCAGACCTGAATATCAACTGTGACATGTTGAAAAGGTGTCACATGAACAGATGTAAACCTGTTGATTTCAAACCCATTTCAAAGAATAACTAAGTTGCTCAGAAACCTAGTATCCTCAGCTTTAAGAAGAAAAGAGCAAGTTGGGCATGGCGGGGTACACCTTTAATCTCAGCACCCTGGGGGCAGAGGCAGGGAGGCTCTAGGCCAGCCTGGTCTACAATTACAGTGAGATTTTGTCTCAAAGAAACAAAAAGAAGCAACAGCAACGAAAAAAGAAAAGTGCCAACACATGAAATTCTACTTCAAATGCTAATTTTAAAATGCATTTAGTGGAAAAAATCAACAGAATACCACTGAGTGTGAAAAATAGCAATGGTTTGAGGCCAGTGGAGTTCTATGGAATTTTAGGTTATAGAACCCTGTCAGGGTTTGGCCCTTTTTCCTGTGAATCCGTTATCGGATTCCTGCTCTGCCTATTTTGTAAAAATAATTAAACAAGCTCTCACCCCTCAAAACCCACATTTTTTAAAAATCTTTTTCTCATAATTTAACTGAAATCCCTCTTTCCCCAGAAGTGGAGTTGTTTGACTTAAAAAACCAGTAGTATCAGTATAATCCCTAGAATCTAATAAGGCTTCCATCAGTGTAAAATTGTTATCCTTAGGCAGAAAGAGAACCAATTCAATTATGATGTTGGTTGAAAAATTGAAAGCCTTTTTAACTGGAGGGTGGAAAAGTTGTAGTACATATTAAAATGGTTAGAACAAAATCCGTGCATCTTGGCTAACAAATGCTAATATGTTCTTTTGTTACCCTCTAATTTATATGATTCATGTAAGCCTCCAGCCAGTGAAACTTGTACTAAATTTCATGTGCATTAAAAAATAGCAAAGCAATGAATTGTGAAGTTATTAACATTCGTGCCTGCTTGCATTATTAAGCCATACACATCAAGTCTGGTAGTACAAGGAGAGAAATGTCATAAAGAAGTACAACAGTGTTTAATCAGAAGCATTTCTAAAGGTCATCAAGGCATTGCATGGTGCCCACCCATGCAGAACAGAAATCTGAAACAGATACCCAATGTGGCACAATAAGAATAAGTTTAATAAGTTTAATAAGTCCTCCACATACTGTACCTACTAATGATTGGGTTTACCGTTCTGCTGTTAAAGATAAAACCAATTCTGGTCCTAAATCATATATGCTTCTCCCTAAATTAATTCCAGATTAACAAGGAGTTAAGAGTGCTGGCACAGGACATTTGTGTGCTTATTTACCTTCTACCACTGAGGAGATGACTGATCATCTCAATACAGGCTTTTAAAGAGCTCTTCGACTTTTATCATCTAGGGGAGCCACAGGCTGCATGATTTAAGTAACCCATAATTTATTAATATTTTCTTTGAATAGTGTTTTATGTGCTTTGGGACAAGTATTCTCATTTAAATACTTAAAAGCTATGAACATTTGACCCCTCTAAATATTTTACTTTAACATTTTAAGAATTACTATGCTTTCTCATGTGGTTGGGCAGCTTTGGTGAGGATTAATAACAAAATGAATGCCCACATAACTGCCTTATGGTAGATGATAGTCATATGTCTAATTCGCAACGTTTGCAGATACTGCAATTGCTTTTCAGGGGATTACAGTTTGTGCAACTGAAAAGACCAACATAGAAGCTGAACACAATTTAAGACGGCTAACACTGATTTGTGCCTGGTGCCACTGTTCACTTCAATTGTCACTTTTTATTGCTGCCCTTCACGTTTAAATTTGACCTTGCAGCCATAAGCCAAAGGAGAACTCCTTCACTCCCTTTAGACTAATGCCTGGATTAGCCATCTTTTGCTGTTTCTCAAGAGACTGTAATGACACATCCCCCATCAGTAAACAGGCTCCAGGTTTCCCTTAAAGACTTTCATGTGCTGTTTCTATTTCCCTGGACTCCCCTTCCACATAGTTAAAGGCCTGTACCCACCCTGTTCTACTGAAGACTGTTGGTGTCCATCCACTGTCTACTGTCCTCTGCCCAGATCAACACCAGGAAGATGAGCCTCAGATAATTTTACTTAAATATTATAAAAATTCTAATTAAATAATGCTGGGATAAATGACTAAATATATGAAATTGGAGACACAAGGCAATGCTTTTTTATTCAATAAGCCTGCTTAATTATAAAAATTTCCTCTTCAGTATATATTTATTGAATAACTACTCTGATCAGTGGTGAATACATTTGATTTCTTAACAAGTTTATTGAATCACGATCCATATATGCGCATCAATGGTATGACTAAGGATCACAATGAATGTCTCAAATAAACACATCTGTGTAACCAAGACTTTTAGTTGTAAAAAACTGAAAGTTAAGTCTCCATAAAAATTCACCAGAGCGTTTCTGGGCCACTATTCTGACTGTTAGCAAACAAAGCTTTGTTGTTGTTCTGTATACGGATTCATCTAGTGTACACTCATTTGTGCCTGGTTTGTGCTGATAAACACGTGGAAATTCTTCCATGTTGAGTGGATTTGTTGCTCTTTCATGCTCCTTGTTGAATAACTCCTCAGTATGTGACTGCACCACAGGTTACATATACATTCCAGTACTAAGGATTCCAGTACTAAGGGCACTTTGATACTTGGGGGTGGGGGGGTATTATGTATGAGACTGCTATGGATCATTGACTACATGTCTTTCATTATATGTATGAACATAAGGGTATAATCTTAACAGAGAAATTGCTGTGTCATGGGCTATATAGTAGATGCAAAAGCTGGAATATTTAAGAGAAGTGTCTGCACTAAATCTCTTCAAGGGTAATATGATATTTAATCTCAGATAAATGGAAACTGGGAAAAACACTGCATCAAGCGTTCATTATTATTTTAGCTGAAATTAGGATTTGGCAAAAACAAAAAAACAAAAAACAGTTGTTCTTCTGAGAGACTCACTGATCTAATCTCTGGCTCTAGCTATCTATGGAAATTACTGACTTCGCTGAGCTACATTTTCCTTGTTTACAAGATTTTGGTGGTAGGGCTCACTTTATAAGCACTATAATCCACATAGATAGTTCTATCTTTTTTAATGTGTATTTTTATGGAATTTTTGTGCGTTTTAGACACAACATCTTAATCATCTTTATAATCCCTCCCCATCAGCAAAAAAATGGAATGCTTCACGAATTTGGCTGTCATCCTTGTTCAGGGGCCACAGTAATCTTCTATCATTCCAATTTTAGTAGATGTGCTGCTGAGGCGAGCACCCTCATAGTGAGGATTTAATGAGATAATGCACACAAACCTAAAGGTCTTACAAGAGTGCAAAGGTTGAAAAAATACTTATTGTTGCTTTCTTCTTTCTTTCTTTTTAACAAAGCTATCTCTCCAGCCCAGAACTAAGTGTTTATATGTTGGCCATTATTATTATTGAGGTGATTCCAAAAAATAGTTTCCTACAGTGTAGACCCAACAAAAAAAAAGGGATGCAAGTCTTTTTATCATAAATCATAATTATGACACAGATTATTTAATTACCATATTCTTTTGAAAATACTGTGATTATGAGTGAAGTATTAAAATTTCCTGTAAGAGAGAAAGAACATATGCCTTCTTGTTTTCCAGATCAAATCTCCAAAATAATGCTCCTTGTGTTATGTGAGTTCAGAACTCTTATCCGTGGTAAAGCCTTTCCTGGATCTATGATCACATTCCCCCTTCTCCCTCTCTACTGCATAAAGGCTTCTTGCTGGGTTTATTCTACTCTAATACTTAGTTCATTCTGTTACAGTCACTTACCATTATATTCGCCTCTATGCATTGAGAGTGCAGGATTTATGTTTTCTATGTAGAATATAGATCCAGAAAGCCTTAAGTGAATTTCTAAAACTGTCAGAACATATTGTTAATGCCTGGCAACATAATCTCTCTCTACACTATGTTATTGGGAGAATCCTTGATGTTACTACTTCCAGTGGAGCAATCACTGTTAAGGAAATGCACTAAAATTTACAGACTTTAAACATTCTTATTTTGTTTACATTTTGTGTGTGTGTATGTGTGTGCATGTGCTGTGCACAAGTGCACCCAAACATGCATTCATGAATGTCACGATGCATGTGGAGGTCAGAAGAAAACTGTAGGAATCATTTCTCTCCTTCCAACCATTTGGTTCCTGGGATGGAGCTCAAGTTATCAGGATTCATGACAAATCCTTTTACTCTCTGAGCCATCCCACCAGACCTCATACTTTTTAATATAAGTAATACATTTGGTGATTTTTTTCCCATAGTTGAGTACTTTGGGTATACCAAGAGCTAAATAGAGTTGTGTAGATTACAGAAACGACTTATAAAGTGAGAAATGTACCTAGCATTAAATAGCTGCTTGAGAGTGGAATATCTTGAATGCAATTCATTTATAAGCAAGATATGATTTACTATATGCAACAAAAAATAATTCTTAAACTGAACACAGTATTTGCAGAATAAACTGACACCCTTCAGGACTTGGACACTATGGCATGATCAGAAATGTCTGACAAGTGTGACAAGATATTATTCAATAGCTTTTAATTTTGGTAGCCTAGACTGTATTGATGAATGTGCATATGTGCACACTCTGAACCCTATGAAAAGCACACACAAGCTTCAGTTACTATGTGTTGACAGCATTAAAGACAACCAAACTAGCAGATTCTGCATGTTTGTGGTTTATTTGCTCTGTGGCACTGAGTATTGATTAATGACACAATAAATCTTTTTGAGTCTTACTTTCCACTGCCAACATAGCATCCTGGGATGGGAGCTCCAAGCCTGGGTAGAGATGAAGACATGCATGCCAAATAAGATAAGTTGGGCTGAGCTCATGAGTGATGAATAAATGCATTTGGGGGTGTTACCTGCTAACCTTAAACTGTGAAATTGTTCTTTCAAAGCCATCTTCAGAAACTTTCATTAGGCTGAATTACATTTATTTGATTTAGACCTTTCTACCATGACTATATGATGTTAGGAACAAAATTCAAAAGTTGATACTGTAATAGATGATACTATTTACTAGTCTAGGGCTATTAATTTCAACTTCATGATATCAAAGTGCATTTATAAAAGATCTTATTAAAAGTATGAATGAAGGTTTAGGAAGATACACTATTGTTACTGTCTGTCATTAGTTATGTGACTTTGTACTAAGTATCCTTTATGAAATGGGATTCTGTCATTATACGTTAATTGAGCATTGTTATAAGACATTTGGTACAGTGTCTTGTACATTGTAAAGGTTCAGTACATGGGGAAAAAGATCGTTTTCCTTTTTTAATAAAGGGCACAATTTCTTCCACTAAATTTGATTGTTTTAACTATTCATGAAATACGTCTTATATACCAACACTAAGCTAGGGGACAGATTATTACTTAATATATCAAATTATATAGTGTTTATGCAAGAGCATAAAGACGGATAATTGGGAGTTAAGAACAAAGTGTTTTAGATACAGTCTCAGTCCTCAAAGAACATAAACTTGAGAGCAATGATTCTTAACTAAAAGAGATATCATTTATCAAGGGTAATCACAATGTATGAAGATATCTATTGTTGTTACACTGGGGCCATGTTGTCTCAGTGGGTAGAGACTAGGGCTTTACTAAACACAATTACAAGAACAAGTCTCAACAGCCAAAAGCTATCATCTTACACTGCCAGTTATGCCTATATTGAGAAGGCCTGGGCTACAAGCAGGTACAAAGCATGTATGTGCAGAATCATACCAGAGTGTGCAGCCACAGTAACTATTGACAAAGAGACAAAGGATGTTAACCATCATCATCGTTATGGTTACTAACACAATAGAACTCTGTTATGTACTAATAAGCCTTAGCCCAACTAATCTCCTCTATAGCTCCATGATGTGGGGGTGTGAGTATTAAATCCATTCTGAAACTCAGGAAGCAGGGTCTCAGGAGCCTTATATTAATCACTAAGGTGGTAAATTACTGGGCTAGGGTTTGAACCCAGGAAATTGGTCTCAGAAGTCTATCATCTTAACTGCTATGCCTACTGTGAAAAGCCTGCTGGAAGCTCTCCCAGGAAAAGGAATTTTTGTGACATGACGTATCTAAAGATCTTGAGGAGTTTCACTCTGACTAAACTGCTACAGGGCTACAGTGGCCAACAAGGTAAGACTTGGAGTTTTCTAAAACACAGTCATTTTAAGTGAATCTTTTTTTTTTTAAATAATATTATAGTATTAACTAGATTTTTTTCAATGCTGGGAATTGATCTTAGGGTCTCACAAATACTAGGCAAGTACTTTATTACTGAGCTACATTCCCTGCCCAATAGATATTCTTTCAACAAGCTTTCAAATGCCTAATTATGAAATAAGTAGTGCCTGTGTCTATATGAAACACAGAAAATTTATAATTTTCTGTTAAACAAAATGGAATAGTGACTGGAAAGATGACTTAGCAGTTAAGACCACAAGGATAGACTGCTCTTGTCAGGACCCAAGTTCAGTTCCCTGTACTGGCATTGGCCTGTAACTCCACTTCTAGAGGATCCAACATCCTTTGTTGGAGTTTGTGGGCACCTGCACTCCCAAGTACATACCTCACATAGACACACATGCACACATAATTTAAAAATAAGGTAACTCATTTTAAAATGGAATAAAGCTGGACATGGTAGCTTACACCTTTAATCCTATCTCTCAGGAGACAGAGGCAAGCAGATCTCTGTGAGATTGAGGCCAGCCTGGTTTACATAGTTAGATCCAGACCAGCTGAGGCTACAGAGAGACCCTGTTTCAATAAATACATACATACAAAAATCATAAAATTAAATAGATAAAAAGGAACAAAATAAAGTTCCATGTTTCAAAGTTCCTTTCATATTCAGATAACATAATACAGTTTGTAAAAGGAGATAGCATAAGTTTTTCTGAACACAGAAAGGGGTAGTAACATGAGGGTGTGATAGCCCTCATTCTCATAAAAATCTGAGGACCAGACCATGTGAATAAAATCACCAATGACATAGATCTGGTTGTAGCAATAACATTTTTAATAGTTTTAAAGGAAAAGTTGAATTCAAATTGTTATATTCTTTATATTAGAGAGTCACATTATTGCTGCAACAGGGGAATAAAGTCAGTAGCTAAGGTGGAAATAATGCTGAATTGTACCTATTCCAACTTACCTCTGAAAATGCCTTGTACTTCCCATACAGTACAGCACCCCTACTGTAACAGTTTCCTCAGGATGCTGTGTCAAAGTCCTGCAGACTAGATTTTGGCAGGGCCATGTTAACTCAGAGATCACAAGGAAATGACCTTTCCTTGCCTTTGCCTTGGTCCCAGTGTCTCTCCATAACCCCCACTATCCCTTACTTGATAGATGCACCAGTCCAAACCCTATCTCCATCTTCACACAGCCTTCCCTCTCTGTATGTTTATTCTCCTCAAAAAGATGAGAGTTCCTGGATTCAAGGCCCAGGCTAACGCATTAGAATATCATAAGTAATTACATCTCCAGTGACACTCTTCCCAAATATGGCCATATATTGAGATTCCTGGGAGATATTGACTGGGGAGGGGCATATTCAACATAGTATACCTGGCATCATGTATATAATTCTGTATGGAAATAGGAATATTGCATGTGGGATGTGCATGCAGAAAAAACATGTTTTTCAAAATGAAGATTTCTAGCAGGACATCTTTAGACACTAAGATCAGAGGCAGCATAATGAAAAACTAAAATATTATTTTAGTAAAACCTGAACCAATTCATATTGAAGTATCTATTTATCACATGATAAGCAAAAATGCCATCTGTTTTTTGTCCTCTCTCATAATTAGTTCCATTTAGCTGAAATGACATTTGACATCTATTTCCCAAGGAGAAAAAGATGAATTATTGTAATTATTTTTACCTTTTTATGATTTAACCCATGTGTCTAAATGTTCCCATTAAAGGAAATATTATTATTTTAGATAGATAAGAATGTTGTAAAATTTATTTTTCAAATTTCTGAGTTTTTACCTGTTATTATTCATCACAATACAAAATTCTTTTGGCAAACTTAGGATTATCAGTATGAAAAAAACCCTGTGCTTATTGCATACCCTATCAGAGCCATTTGAAAAATTTGGATATTAATGTATATGACAGTTGTGCACATTCAGTTCATTACTTTATATACGTTGTGGTAGTGGAAGTATTAGAATAAGCTACATAGGAAAGCCAGGTGCCTAAACAATAAAAAT